TTTTTTTTTCAGAGGAAAACAACTATTGTGTAAATAACAATCAAAACGTCAGATAATTGAAAGAAAAATATCCGGGCAATTATTTACGATCATTGCGATAAACAAAATGACCAAAGTGTCGGGAATAATGGAAAAGGAAGACGTCGTTGACAAACAGACTCTGGTACGACGTATGTCCAACATGCTGAGAGGTAAGGGAACATAATTTGATTAATAACTGATGATTATATGAAAATGATGCAATTCATCTGAACACGAAAACTACCAACGACCGAAGTAAACTCGTGTTAGAGAAATGAAAATACAAAGTTTACATTATAACGAAGAACACAAGATTACATATTGTACAAAAGAAATTAATATAAAATATTGAGATAGATAAATAATAGAAATATTATGACGTGATTAAAAAGTTTAAAAAATATTAGTGATGATATACAACACGGAGAACACGAGATTACAATGGAGGGTTCAGAAGCATGCAAATACACTTTTATTATTGAAATCTTCGACTGATTTAGTCACTATTGACAATTACAGTTACACTATAATATTATATATAATATCATTATTATAGGTCGTTTCATTGAAGTTCTGACAAGGAAAGATAAAAATATTTCGCACAGCGAAAGTTATTTTTAACGATCTCGTAAATCTATCAGATTTCGTTCAGACTATTTTCTAATGTTAAAATAATCAATTGACAATTATATACGTACTGTCTTGCATCAATTGATAATTACATCTCATTATATCTCTCGACAGATGGAAGTAACAGCGAGCCGCCAATGCTGTTTCGTCACACCTCGATGGAGAAGATCCGTCATTGCTGCCAAAACCTCAATCTCTTCCCGTATCTGCTCTACTCTTTTGAAAACTCAAAGTCGCACCCAGTCGCTCGTAAGCTGCACTATTACCTCGGCCAGTTCCTCCAGCTGATCACCGCAAGAATCTTCTTCCTGTACAAAAGCTTTCGACAATCGCTGTTGTGCGACATTCGTGCGAAAGAACTTCAAACGGTAGAGCCACCGAAGATCACGGAATCTGTCAGTAAATTTCCACCGAGATTTCGAACGATCAGGCAAGATCAGAAACCCAAGCAGAGCAGACGCCTGTTCTTGACACTGGCCGTATACTTTGCTCCGTTGTTGCTGCTTTTCCAACTGATTGGACTGTTCAGCGTGATGATGTTTGGAAAATACACGCCCGGCTTCATCTTCCTCATATCCGCCTTGTTGTTCCTCGGATGCATCTCGCTCAAGATCCTCTTCCACGAGACTGCCAAGGAGAGGCGCAGATGCGCGAAGATCACAATTGACGAATGATCATCTTCCGCCAGTTGTTACCTATCTCAGCCACCACTCAACCATCAGACTGTTCATCGGATAAATGAACTTGGCCTCCTTCACAGTTGTCCATTGTCGCATTTGATTACTTAAACGACGCGATAGATCAGATAGAGCTTACATATTCCGTATATCACGCGATACTAGCATTGTTCACGCTCATTCATAATCTCTTTCATATCCACGTTCTACGTCTCTGATAATGCACCCATGTATATATGTATGTTAATCGTTCTTTCTTATCATCAATGGTTCCGTTAGTTGCTACGTTAGGATCGATAGAATCAATTGAATCATATGTTCTATGATACTTCTTTTTTTTTTTTTTGTACTTTATTATCATCGAACTGATAAATACACTATAATAATCGTATATAGCGCGTGAGCGTAGACATTGCAAAATTAGAGAGGATCGAAAAGTTCGTAACGATGTACTCGAATTTACGCAAGAAGAAGTTTGTAAGCATTTTTCTTTTTTTTCTGTTTTTCTATTATCAACACAAGCAT